AGCCTGGGCGACAGAGCGAGACTCTGTCTCAAAATAATAATAATAATAATAAATATATATATATATGGAAAACAAGAAATGCAGAGAAAATATCCTAGTCATTGAAAAATGGGTTACTTTGTTTCTGCACTGCAAAGTTACTACTTTAAACTTTGTAATGAATCTAATCGAGATCATTTGAGATGATGCAAATGTCCTGTTTCTCATCATACATTTACCCACTAACTTTAGCCTCTATTGATGATAATTCTCACCTGCAACAGTTACTGTGGTCTTTGCCAAATGGTGATTTTCTTTTTCTATTTTCATCATTCCTTCTATATTAACTAATTGGAATTCTACTGTAAGGAAAAGTTGTTCCTTCAAACCCATTGATTTGTTCAATCATGTATTTCAGTAGGACCTATATTTTATTTGTTCCTTGCTATATCTTCAGTGTGTAGTACAGTGTCTGACACATAATCAGTGCTCAATAATAGGTGTTGGATGAATGAGCGAATGAATGAATGAATTTGTATCCATATGTGGCCTACAGAGTTCCCGGACATGCACAACCAATATCACCACCCCATGGAGATGACTCCCAAATTAATATTTTTAGCATATGTTCCAGACTTACAACTCCAACCTCCCGGGAGACATCTTCAGATAGCTGTGCCACCGCCACCACAAGGTCAACATGTCCCAAACCATTCAGACCAGCTTTTTCTCCTGAGCTGGACATCTGGCCTCCAACCTTTTCATTCTCTTTTACCTTTCATATTCTATCAGCAGCAGCAGCTGCTGAAATCATACCATGCAAGTTTCTCACGTCCATCTCTGCCTTTTAATGGCGCCCTCTGACTCTTTTAAGAAGTTTTCTTCCACTACAACCTGGTCATCAAGTTGGAAGGACTCAACACGATCTCTCAGTCCAGGGTCTGACCCAGTGCCCAAATTCTTTCTCTAGCTATGCCGAGAGCTGGTCATGCTTTGAACTTCTGCTTTGAATACTTTCAGTGACACTGGGGGAGAATTATCTCATTGGACCATTGTCATTGTTAGAAAATTCATTGTTATGCTGAAATGAAAGGATTTTATTCACACACACACACACACACACACACACACACACACACACACACACAATAGCTCTTCCTCCTGTAACATGACTGGCCTGAAAATGTGTGAAGACATATCCAATCCTCTCTGGTTTTATTGTTCATTCAATTTTCTGTTCTCCTCCTGGCAGGATTATATTTCACCTTGTGGAACCCAGACATGGTCGGGTAACTAGCTCTGGTCTGTGAAAATTGAGAGGAAGTGACATGTGTCACTTCTGGACAGAAGCTTTGAGAGCCGGTTTAAATGATCCCTTTTCCCTTCATCCATGAGACAAGCTAAGTTCCACAGAGAGGGTGCCACGCTGCGAAGGACCTGTGTTATGAGCACGATGGCTCGTGCCACTTAAAATTCCTCAAGTGACTGAAATTTGGAGGTCAGTTGTTACCACATCATAACCTAGCCAATTCTAGTTAGCCTGTTTTCTTCCTAACTTCTTTAATCGTTCTTCATAAGTCACAATCTCAGCCCCTCACCATTCTGACCACTGTCCCCTGGATTCCACTCAGCTTAGTCATTATCCCCCTTAAAATGTGGAGCCCAAATGTGAACCCCAGGTGCAATCCCACTAGGGCACAACAGAATGGGTTCCTGTGCCCTTTGATCCTCTGAATAGAGCCTCTTGTTGCTTTGGTGTTTGTCTCTGTGTGTGCTTTCATCATTGGCTGAGCCACGCTGTTAACTCGCAGTGAACCAATAACTAGAGAAAAAAGATTTTTCCCATTGACCTCTCGACATATATTGGGAAACAAATTTTTTGATCCGCGTTCAAGTAGACAGGGCAGAATTTTCCAACTGCTACGTGATCTTTTAAAGACAAGTTAGTGGCAGACCATTTACAGAAACCAGGTGTTCTGTCTTTTGGCTCTGAGCATGCTGCTAATCTTCATCATCTCGTGTACTGAGCGAGGGCTGCAGAGCTGCAGCACCGGCAGGACTAGGCGCTCGGTAGGACCCGGCGCTGCAGTGCGAAATCTAGGAAGGCGCCTTTCCCGCGGCGCCCTGGAGGCGGGGCCCCACCTTCCCACGCAGGCGCCCTCAGGTCCCGCCTCCTCACCCGCCCGCCGCGTGGCGTCGGAAAGAGCGCTCAGCCCCTCCCTCTCTGGCTCTGATACCCAATGGGCAGCCGCAGGCCTTTAGCGGGGGCGGGGCACCCCTGGACGCCGTTCTGGTTGGCCCGTGGCCCGGCGCAGCGCATGACGTTATTATGACTCTGTCACGTCGCGCTGCGACTGAGGCGTGGCGTCTGCTGGGGCACCTGAAGGAGACTTTGGGACACCCTCGTCGTGCCTCTTGGGCTGTGAGGAGTCGCCGCTGCCGCCAGTGCCTGTGCTTCATGAGGAAGATGCTCGCCGCCGTCTCCCGCGTGTTGTCTGGCGCTTCTCAGAAACCGGTGAGACCTCCTGGGCGGCCGGGGTGGGGCGCGAGCGGGGCTGAGGCGGGGCCGGAGGGCGGGCCGGGCCGGGCCACCCAGAGCGGGGTAGAAGGAGCTAGGGGAGCCGGGGAGCCTTCACTTCGCCCCCACCCCCTGCTTTCCGTTCCTGGCCTCAGCAGAAGCGACGCGGACCGGGATCCTGCCAAGGTCCCTGTGGACTTCCCCCTTCTCGACACCCCGCTGCCGCCGCCGGGCCCAGCTGTGCGCCGGGCGAAGTCAGTGTGCTCAAGAGGTGCCTGTTGGTTTACAGGACTCGGAAAGGGTGGCCTCGGCCTCCTTCGAGTCTCCGATTGACCCTACTCATTTCAGATCTTCCTAACTTAATTTCTCTTGACCGAGAGGCTTTGTAATAGCGTAGAATCTGGAGACGGAGTGGCTCCGTTCAAACAGCACCCTCACCATTGACTAACCCTGTGACCTTGAGCAAGTTTTTAAACTTCCCGGGGACCCGGTTTCCTGAAATGTTTGCGCTAAGTGGAGTTAATCTCTAAATGGAGATAAGAGTTATCTCTGAAATGTTATCGGTTATTAAAATGTTATCAGTGAACTCTAAAATGGAGTTTTAGAGTTGTCCTGGGATTGTCTTGAGGATTCAACGAGTGACACGTGTGGATACGATTCCAAATAGCACCCGGCACATAATCGATAGCATGTGTGTTGAATAGTGTTATTTATTGAGTGTCCCGTTCGGTATACATTTCTTGAACACCTGTGCTCAGTTCTGAGGCGGGTTCACAGAGGGTCAGCCTCTTCAGAAACAAACTTCCTCCCCTTCCCTCTCCCTCAACATCTGAGCTTTTCTTGGCAGTGAGTTCAGGAGTGCGGAAGCAGAACTCAGAGGACGCTGCCCTCCCCTCCCCTTACCTACACATTCTTGGGGTACAAGTAGCTAAAGCAAACAGCAACGATGCTTGAGGGGTGGGGGGTAGAGTCCAGCACTATTTCATGGCCTCAGCATTTAGAGGTGCCTAACACCTAAGCTTCTAGCATTCTGACCCCTAGGCACAGTGAGGTCGTGTTAATTGGTGTAACTGGAGGCCTCGGGAGTCTGATAATTCCCCCAGGACTTGATACAGCTCTAAGTAGAGGCAGAGATTGTCAAAGGTAAGAGGTATGCCCCTCTAGGAATCCTGTTGCCTAAAATAATGACAGAACTGCCGGGTGCGGTGGCTCAAGCCTGTAATACCAGCACTTTGGGAGGCTGAGGCGGGTGGATCACCTGAGGTCAGAAGTTGGAGATCAGCCTGGCCAATGTGGTGAAACCCCGTCTCTACTAAAAATACAAAATTAGCTGGGCATGGTGGCGGGTTCCTGTAATCCCAGCTACTCTGGAGGCTGAGGCAGGAGAATAGCCTGAGCTCGGGAGGCGGAGTTTGCAGTGAGTGCCATTACGCCACAGCCTGGGCGACAAGAACAAGACTCCGTGTTTAAAAAAAAAAAAAAAAAAAAAAGTCATTCCCTTTGGGGATATCTGTGGGTAGAGGGCTGTACCGGTAGTTATGGGCTTAGAAACATCCTTTAGGCACCCCGATGTAGGTTTATTATTTCTTCTGCAAGTCAGGTTTATCGTTTCCTCTATCAGTTTGCAGGGTCTCCCCCCGCCCCCACCTTACAGTAGGAAGAAAATTGAATTCCAGATATGAAGTCACCTTAGAAAGTGCCCAGGTATCTTTCCACTTAGTGGTGTAAACTCTTCAGATAATTAGGAAGTTTTCTGTGTCACTCAACTTGTCGTGGACTAATTAGGAACAATTCCTGAAGCTTTTAAGGGTAGAACTAAAAGTTTCACCTTTATCTTTTTAAAGGGTGGAATAATTAACGTGTTGACTCTTTGTTTTTTGTAATTCTTCATACTTATGGATGTCTTTTTACTTAACTATAAGTAACAAGATAGATCAAGGTTTTAATTCTTTATATCATACATGTAAAAAGACATTTTGTATATAAGCCTTTCACAAAAATCCTGACAGTAAACAATAAGCAGTGGCTCACCCAAATTAGGCAGACTTACTGAACTAGATTCCTACCATCTGTGTGATACTCCATGAAGGGAGGGATAAGTTTAGGCAGCTGGTCTGATGGCTGTGACACAAGTTAATCCCCTTAACCTCCCAAGATGCTGTGTGTTTTTTCCTTTTTCATTTTTTATTCTCCCTGGTATTTTTGTTTTGTTTGAGATAGAGTCTCTTTGTCACCCAGGCTGGAGTGCAGTAGCATGATGACGGCTCACTGCAGCCTCAGCCTGCCGGGCTCGAGCGATCCTCCTACCTTAGCCTCCTGAGTAGCTGGGAACATAGGCGTGCGCCACCATCACACCCAGCCAATTTAAAAAAAAGAAATTTTTTTAGTAGAGGCATGGTTTCGCTATGTTGCCCAGTCTGGTCTCCATCTCCAGGCTCAAGCAGTCCTCCCACCTGGGCCTCCCAAAGTGCTGGGATTACTCTCACTCTCTTAAAACCAGGCAGGTGGGGAGATTCATCTCAGGTTTAAAGATTGCCATTGTCTCATCAAAGAGTGTGTGTTGTGAAACTTTGAAATGAATTTCAAGATTGTGTTTTCATTTTTGAATAAGGTCTGTAGTTTTCATAGTTCTTATTTCATGGAAGAAGACTGAATTGCATTTAAAATGTTATTCTTTGTTTTATTGTTTGCATTTCTGTATGACTTTTTTTGAGATCTTTACTGTGTTTTGGCTTTATAAGTGGTAGGTAAGAGTTTTAATTTACACTGTTAGAATATGGAATTTTTGAAACATTTTTCCTCTTTCACATGAATGATTCCTATGTATTTAGGAAGTTAAAGTTTTGCTTTTTTTTAATTAATTTTTTTTTAGGCTGGACTGCAGTGGCACAATCATAGATTACTGTAGCCTCAGATGTGCGCCACCACACGTGACTAATTTTTTAATATTTATTTTTGTAGAGATGAGAGTCTCATTATGTTTCCCAGGCTGACTTTGAACTCGTGGCCTCAAGTGATCCTCCCACCTTGGCCTCCCAAAGTGCTGGGGATTATAGGCATGAGCCACCATGCCCGGCCTAATTTTTATTTTTTAAAATTTGAATGGGTGGTTCGTGGTCTCTGTCAGAGAGGAATCCCATTTAACAGAGAATCTTTTTATGACTCTCCAGAGAAAATGAATAGTAAACTTATCTTTTCAACAAGCTCTCACTCAGAAACTACGATACACTCACACTTCTGATAGGACTTTTAGCTTCTTTAACTTTGCTCCTTTCACTCATATCAGTGGTTCTTATTTTTGAGATACACAATAATGAAGCCAGGGGAGAACGTATCTAAGTAGCTTTCTGGCAGTCCTAATCTTTGCAGGCACAAGATTACAGGTGCGTGCCACAGCACTGGGCCCCTTCTTGCTCTTTATTGTATAGCATTATCCTGCCTCATCGTTTCAACTCTAGGATTGAGAAAGAAGTTACCTTTCCTCTGTTACTGTTTCCTGGCTGATTTGGACTCCTGCCTTCCAAAAACTGCAGTTTCTGTAGTTGCATTTGGAAATTTATTTCGCAATACAGTACATTTCTGGCCCCACAAGTTGCCAAGAATAACACATCTGTTTGATGATTGCCAAATATAACCGTTGATTTGCTGTTTCACCCTCTCTCAGCTTTACTTCTTCCTAAATTCCCTTCAGTTTTTCTGAGATACATTAGTGGACTGTCTCTGTCTGTAAGTTAACTGAAACACTGATTCTTAGTATTTCAGTTGTTTTCCTCCAGCACTGTCATTGTCTGTGTTTGTTGGCTTTGTCCTATAATGGTCTATTGAGGGATGAAGAGATATGTAATTAGCTTTCTGCCTATTGGCTTGTACACTCCAGCATATACTTGGCAGATCAGTCTTAACTCTTCTCACCAAGATCCAGTCCACTGCTGGATTACGTAAAGTATGAACACATCAGATGTGCTTTTTATGGAGAAATCATGTTGGTTTACATGTCAGTGTGTGAGAATATGGCAGGAGGGAGTTAAAATAGTACGATAATACTAACTGGATAAATACTGTCATCTAACCTAAACCTTAGCCATTACATAGAATACTTTTGCTGTGAGCAGGTTTGCTCAATTGTAAAACTGGAAAGGAATCATTTCTTGCCTCCTCCCAAGCTTTTTACCTCCAAACAGTGACAGCCACCCAAACGTCAAGAGAACAGTGTTTTAGAGAACGTTTCTTTCTACTGGGGCTTCAGGAGGAGCCTACCCAAGATTTAGGCTGTTCGAATTATAAATTATAAAACAGCTGGCTCAAGCACATTGTGTTTAAGTCAGAGAGTGCTAAGTATCTTTTCTTTTGTCTTGTCTCCCTAATGTATTTATCTCATACTTCAATCAATTTAAAATATTTTTTCTTACAGATCCAATTTGATAGAAGAGTCAACTTTGCCTGGAGTGGGGATTAAATCATAGTTTTATTTGAAGTATAATTTTGGCTTGCTCAAAATGAACAGTATCTGGTTATGACTAGAATGGCATGAACAGGTCGGACGCGGTGGCTCACGCCTGCAATTCCAGCACTTTGGGAGGCCAAGGCAGGTGGATCACCAGAGGTCAGGAGTTGGAGACCAGCCTGGCCAACATGGTGAAACCCTGTCTCTACTAAAAATACAAAAATTGGCCGGGCGTGGTTGTGGGTGCCTGTAATCCCAGCTACTCGGGTGACTGAGACAGAAGAATCACTTGAACCCGGGAGGTGGAGGTTGCAGTGAGCCGAGATTGCGCCACTGCACTCCAGCCTGGGTGATAAAAGCAAAACTCTGTCTCAAACAAACAAACAAAAGAATGGCATAAACAAACACAGCTCACAGATGATCTAGTCTCTTTAGCCACTAATTTCATTATATTCTCAACTATAATTTCTTTGAAAACAAAGGATGGGTTTTGTTTTTGCCCCTCTTTGCACTGCTTGCCTTCAGATGGCGGGATGATCATGTTTCATTGGCCAAAGCATGAATTCATTTTGGAGGCTAAGATAGATGCAAACACAGTGCACAGGGTGGAAGAGAAGCCTATGAGTACGTTGGGGCTTATTAAATTTCCATAACTTCATCCTGATAACTGATTAATAGTTATACTTTCCAAAATAGCTGACAATTAAAAAGTACTGATTTGTTTGTATATTTTTGTCTTTTAAGGCAAGCAGAGTGCTGGTAGCATCCCGTAATTTTGCAAATGATGCTACATTTGAAATTAAGGTAAGAGGTGTTTTACTTTGTTAATAATTTTTTCACAGGTACACTCTGATAATACAGTTTTACTTTTAGAATAGAACATGTTCAGTCATTTTCTTCTAAACGTTCAGGATCGGAGGTTCAGAGAAGCTTCACGAAAACTAGAATTTATTAGCAGCAGCTTGCTGTTGTTCTGTGGGGGGTAGGGGGAGGAGCTAGAAAATAAAAATAAAAGCTTATTCTAAAGTTTAGAAAGTAATTCAGTGAAATATTTGAATAAGAAGAGTCTTAGTTGTTTCTTTGAAGGTTCTTTCAACCTATATCTCAGTTGGCTTCTAGGGGCTTTCAGTGAAAATCATCTTAGAAAGATTTCCTTTCCCCAAGCCCCATCTCATTGCACAGTGAGGTTTATGGATTTAAGGAACAGAGGCGATATGAAGCATTACTAATGTGCTCCTTAGCAGTTTTTCAAGTTCAATATTATTTGCAATGGAATTAGATCTTAGAGTGGTCAACAGTGTTTGCAGTGTAGTATGTGGAGGATAATAACTACCTTATTCCATTTCAGAAATGTGACCTTCACCGACTGGAAGAAGGCCCTCCTGTCACAACAGTGCTCACCAGGGAGGATGGGCTCAAATACTACAGGATGATGCAGACTGTGCGCCGAATGGAGTTGAAAGCAGATCAGCTGTATAAACAGAAAATTATTCGTGGTTTCTGTCACTTGTGTGATGGTCAGGTGAGTGGTAGGTTTGTGATAGAACTGTGTTTTTAGGTACTGAAGTATGGCTTGTACTTATTGGGCTTTACCCTGCCTTATGTATCAGAAGAGTTTGAGGCTGGTAATGTAATTTTCTTTTATTTATTTATTTTTTTGAGACAATCTCTCTCGCTCAGGTTAGAGTATAGTGGTGTGATCATGGCTCACTGCAGCCTCTGCCCCCTGGGCTCAAGCAGTCCTCCCACCTCAGCCTCCCAAGTAGCTGGGACCACAGGTGCACACCACCAGACCCAGCTAATTTTTGTATTTTTTGGAGAGACGGGGTCTCACTGTGTTGCCCAGGCTGGTCTCAAACTTCTGGGCTCAAGTGGTCTGCCCACCTTAGCCTCCCAAGGTGCTAGGATTATAGGCGTGAGCCACTGTGCCTGGCTGAAGCCAGTATTTTAGAATTAAAAAGTAGAATGCCAAAACCTGCTATGAAGCTTAGGCTAAAGAATTCATTCACACATAACATTGCCAGTTTTCTGTACCTGTTCTTAGAGTTTTACTATTTTAAAACTTTCTGGCACTGTGATCACCTGTACTGTATATAATTTGGAGAGAAAGGATTAGTTTGTTTTTTGTTTTGTGGGCTTATGTCAAGGGTTATAGAATCAAATACCTATAAGGGCCAGCCAGGTAGAATTAATGAGTGAAGAAAGCTAGGTATACAAAACAGAATGGTGACAGGGACTCGTGCTGAACTGGGACCAGCATGCCCTACCCAGAGGAATGCCATGACTTGGTTCCAGCCAGTTGGTGCCATGTGGAAATCAGGGGTAATGCTTCCTGTTTTCCATGTCTCCAAGAGAAGGCGGAAGTCTGGATTTTCATGTGAAATTCCCTAGTGTTTTAATGTTGACATCTGATGTAGGATTTTCTTTTAGGTCATCATACAGGAGAAAGGAAGGAAGTGGCCCATGTGTGGGTTGCCAGTTTATTGCTTCTGGCTTGGGCCATCCGCTCTGTATTTTGGTGGAAAATAGCTACTTTCTCTGGTTATTATGACAGGTTCTACTAGCCCAAATATTTCACTACGGTCTAGGAAACGTTTTTATTTAGAAACATGTATCGTATTGCTTCATAGTTTCTCCTTCCTCTAACAGGAAGCTTGCTGTGTGGGCCTGGAAGCCGGCATCAACCCCACAGACCATCTCATAACAGCCTACCGGGCTCACGGCTTTACCTTCACCCGGGGCCTTTCCGTCCGAGAAATTCTCGCAGAGCTTACAGGTTTGCTGTTGATTTACAGAAAGGGGAAATGAGTGGATTAAGTTTTTAAATATCTCTCATTAAGATGCTATTTTATGAGTTAATATTTAAAGTTTTAAGTTTCTTTTTTTAACCCTCTCTCCTTTGGTGCTCTGGTACTTCTGAAAAATGTTCCTAGGAAAACGTATCACTTTATTTATATGCAGCAGTCGATCAACGAATTGTGTGTGGGTGTGTGTGAGTGTGCACGTGTGAGTGTGAGTGCGAGTGCGGCCAGGGTGGGTGGGAAGGAGCGGGTGAAAGGTGGACTTTGCTCTTGAGGAACTCGCAGTCTAATTCAAGAGGTCAGATGCTTGCTCAGATAATTGTAGTCCAAGGCAGAGAACAGTAAGCCCCAGAGGCTGGTGAAGTGCCCGAGCTGGAGAAGGGGAGGAGGCCATCCGCACCGTTGCTTTCCTTCCCACGAGACAGGCCGTGGAGCTTCAGCTCTCTCAGGTCCAAGAACTGCATTCGGCCAGGAGTGAGCCCTGAATCCCTATCATGAAAGCCACAGCTGGGCTGGCAGATCTCTTACCTGGGGGCCCCCCAGTC